CCTTAAAAAGTAGCTATTATTACTTATTATAGGTATCTTTAAGGTATAGTTTAATAATAGTTAAATAAAAAGTTTATAGGCCTTAAGAGAGGTTAATAGTATAAGTAGTCTTATTACTAGTAATAAGGTAAAAAGGGCCTTACTAGCCTTTTTTCTTACGCTAGATATAGACTATAGATTAAAGTAGAAAGGCTACTGTTATAGCAGTATCTAGGCTGTTATATATAGTTACTACCTTATTAACTTACCTTTTTATATAAATCTAGTAAATAGCCTTTATTACTTTTCTTACTACTTTAGCCTTTTTAAGTAGGGTTAGTAAAAGTAGTAATAAGTTAGAGATTTATAGGTAGGTGCTAAAGACTAGTAGTATAGGTACTAGGCTATTTAGGCTAGCTATATTATTAATTACTTTAATAGCTAGCTAAAAGGTAACCTTAGGTATATAGCCCTTACTATAAAGGATATTATATATATATTAAAGAGGTATATAGTATCTTTTAACCTTACTAATACTATTATAGGCTTTAATTAGTATTTCTTTAATATTAATATAAAGTAACCTTACTAACTACTTAAATTTACTAGTATAAAAGTTTAGGCTAGTATTAGTAATAATTTAGTTAGGTAGGCTAAAGTAGATATTAATTTAGTATATCTAAAGTGCCTCCTATATATACTTTATAGTAATATTTTTAAGTAAATAGGCTGCTTAAAAAGATATTATAGTATTAACTATATATAAGGCTAGGTAGTTACCCTTAAGGTAGATAATATTAATAATAATCTTATAGTTAAAGTTATATTTATTATTATATAAAGTAAATTTAAAGTAACTAGGCGCCTTTATATTTATTTAGTAGTAGTAGTAAACCTTAGTTAATTTCTCTAAGGCTATAATCTTAACTTTATTACTAGATTATTAGAGGACGTAATAAAGCCTTTAGACTAATAGGTAGCTAAAGTAATAATAAATTTACTATAACTTTATATCTATAAGATAGTAGTAAGTAATACTTTACTTATATTAATTAAGTAGTATCTATATATAGCCTTATTTATAGATAATAGGTATAATAGTGTTACCTTAAATTAGCTTATTAGTAAGGTTATTAAATTTAATACTATACTAATCTATATCTATAAAGTAAAGTAGAAATAAAGTATTTAATAGTATTATATAGAAAGTTAGTATACTAAAGGGGGTTAGTATATTAATTACCCCTTATAATTTAAAGTAGTTACTACTACTAAAGTAGATTTTTACTTTACCTACCTATAACTTATCTATAGCTAGATTTCTTTTTATTTAGTAGTAAAAAGTAAAATACTACTTATATCTAGCTATTAAATATTTAGCTATACTAAAGTTAGGCATAATACTATAAAATAAAATAAATAAATATTACTTATTAAGGGTAAAGACGTCTATGTTAGGTAGCTTATTATTATATAAATTCTTATATAAGGAGTTATTTTTTATAAGAAAATAGGTTATAAATTAGTTATATAGTAATAAAAAAAAAGTAGGCCTATTAATAGTAAATAAGTTAAAGAACGTTATTAATATATAAAACGTAGTGCCTAATTCTTTATCTTTATTACTTTTTATATAGTTACCTTCCTTATCTAAAGTAAATAGCTTATATCCCTTAAAGTTAGTTATAAAGTAGTTAAAGGCTTTAGGTAAAAAGTCTATTAGATACTGCTTTTTATACTTATAGTAAGCTTATTACCTTTTGTCTTTTAAGTGCCTTATTAACTAATAGTTAGGCTTACTATATATATAGCACTTCTTTATAAATAGTAATAAGGGTAAAAGAGGTGCTTATTACTATAGATTACTATTAAAAGGGCGCTATAGCATAAAGTTACTATAGCTATAGTTATATTAGCTAAATTACTAGTAACTTTATTAGCTATTATAAGTATAGTTAGTCTAGTATTAATTATTTACTTTTTTAGTTAGGTATTAATATATAGGTTATTTAAATTATATTATATTACTAATTACTAATTAAAGCTAGCTATATATACTAGTAAACGTTAAAAATAGATTAAAAAAAGTAAGGGAGTACTTTTTTATCTTATAGTAAGAGTTAAGTAATTAGTTATAAAGGGCTATATTAAATAAAGTACTAATCTTTATAACTATTCTTATAAGGGTAGTTACTTTCTTAATAAGTAACTTTAGGTATTTAGCCTTACTTTTATTTAAATTATTTAAGATAGTCCTTATTAAATTAGTCTTTTATAGCTTAGTAAGGTAGGCTTAAAAAGTCTTTTTATTTTTAAAATTACCTCTTATTTATATAACTATAGTAATAAAGTTAGTTTAGTTATAGAGATAGTTAGTATAGTACTTTATAGCCTTACCTTTAAGTATAATAAAGAAGGCGCTTATAAAGTGCTCTTACTAGGTCTTAGCCTTTATATAGTAGTTATAAAAGATTATAAGCTTTAATTTAAGTAACTTATATACCTTTTTACTATACTTTATCTTATTAAGGTATAATTTAATAAGGTTAGTAAGCTAGTAAGTTATAAGTAAAGTAGTAGTAACTAGTATAACTAATAGGTAAAGGTAAGTATTACTTACCTACTTAAATAGTAAAGAAATAAAATTTAGGTTATTATATAATAAGGCTAGATTAATAGGCCTTTATTAACCTTTTTAGACTTAAGTAACTTATACTAAGGGGGTAATAATATAAGAGGGGCCTAGTTAATTTTATATTAATATTATTTCTAGTAGTAGGTCTATAATATCTTATATAAAGTTAGGTTTATTAATTTTTAAGTAAAAATCCTTACTCTTTTTCTTCTCTTTTTTAATATCCTTAAGTATCTATACCTTTAGATTATTAGCCTTAAGGGTATAGTAAATTTATTTAGTAATAGTTAGTAACTTTACTATTAATACCTATATACCTCTATATATTAGGTAGTCTCTAAATTTAATAATAGTTTTATAAGTAGTACCTTTAAAGATATTAAGTAACTATTTTTTAAAGTCTTTAGTAGTATATCTCTATAGTTATTAACTATATAACTATATAAAGCTATATTATATTATTTAAAGTATAATAATAGTACTTAAGGCGTTATATTACTTAACTTAGGTAAAGCTGTTAAGAATATTAGCTAAATTAGTTATACTTTATAGTTATATAATAATAAAGGGCTAGCTACGCTTTAAGATAAGATATAAATCCTTAATATTCTATAGATAAATATACTTCTTTACTTTAGCTAGCGCCTATAGTTTACTTTACTTTTTACTTAGTTTTTTTTTTACTATTATTACCCTCTATTAGCCTTACTAACCTCTTAAATATAGGCACTTACTTCTTACTTATAGGGTTAAAGGTAAATCTATATATTAGAGGAATTACTACTATTAGTATAAATAATAATAAGATAAGTAAATAAATAATATAATATAAAGAGGTATAAGTAAGAAATAAGGTAAATAAAAAGATAAAATAATAGATAAATAGATAGTAGTAAATAGCTTTAGGGAGGCCTTACGCTTTAGTAACGTAAAAAGATAGCTCTAGAGAGGCCTTACGCTTTAGTAATATAAAAAGATAGCTTTAAGGAGGCCTTATAGTAGATCTTACTTAAAGAATAAGAGGAGACATATACTATTTTTAAAAAGAGATATATATAGACCTTACTTTTTAATAAGTAGAATACTATAGTTAAAGATTTTTAAAGGAAAAAAGGTAAAAAAAAAAAAAAAGTAAGAAGTTAAAGTTATATACCTTACTTAAAGGTAAATAATAAGTAGTCTTCTTAAATTAATTAGGATAGTAAAGTTAAGTAAAAGTTATATTAGTTACTAATAACTATACCTTACTTAAAAAAGAAGAAAAAGTAAAAAAAATAGTATAGTTATTAATAGGTATTTAAAGAATAAAAAAAAGTAAGTAAATTAAGGTAATATAAGTAACTTTTACCTTTTTTACCTTACTTAAAGAATAAAAAGAGGTATACTTACTAAAAGTAACGCTTAGCTACTAATTATCTAGTTAAGAAAAGAAGTTATAATTACTATAGGCTACGCCTAGCTAATAATATAATATTAAAAGTGTATAAAGGTAAAATTAGTAAAAGCTATTTATTTATAAATACTATATTAAAAGTAGATTACTTAGGTAGTTCTTACTTAACTGCTTTATAGCTAGTCTTACTAGTAAAATCTTATTTAAATAAGAACTTATAAGAGTTTATTTACTTATAATCTTATATAGGCTGTTACTACTATAGTAAGATAAAAACTTAGTAAGATAAAAATCTTAATAATTAAAGGAAAAAAAAGTTAAAAAATAAAAAAGAAAAAAACTTAAAAAAACTTAGGTATAAAAAGAAGATAATTATACTAAATACTATAAAGGTTATTAGTAAGTAAGTAGTATATAAAGAAAAAAAACTTCTCTAAAAGTAATAAAGTTAATAGTAGTAATAGTAGTTTTATATAGTAAATATAAGGCTTAAAGGGTTATTTACTAGGTATTATAAAATCCTAGGTACTAATAATCTTTAGGCTAAGTAGCACTTTAATACTTTAATCTAAGCTACTATAGTAAGTAAAGTATTATAGCCTCTTCTAATAATCCTTACTAATCTATAGTAGTAGTAACTATAAAGTTAACTACTAATTAGTGTTAGTATTATAGGGATTATAATTATAAAGTAGTAATAGTTTAATTAACTACTAGTTACTTATTAAGATAGATAATAAGAAAAAGAAGAAGAAGTTATTACTATAGATATTTGTAGTAGTGTAAGTAAGCCGCTGGGGTAAGTCACGTGATAGTAAATCACGTGACCATGGATCGGCTCCACCATTGAACAGTTGAATATCCCGACAATAGGAGCTATCATCTTGGACGCAATAGCTAATTAACCAATATCTGTGACACTATCCAACCTGAATATTTGCCAATGCAGGCGCAAATCTGTATGCCCAGAAACTAACTAGGTTTCGCATCTTGTTAAGCGCTCATACGCAATTCCCAGGTAGCTATTACGTCTTCACTTGGCTCCCAAAGCTCACCAGCCCGCCGAATCGAGTCTCCGCCGTGTCCTTTGTCAATAATGACGATTCGTTCGAGATCCATGATGATTTCGGGTCTGCCACTGGCGGCGATCAACGTATAGCCCTCAAAACCGGCCTGGATCGTCTTCTGTATCGCCCGCTCCTTGTCTGTATCCACGCTCGAACTCGCCTCTTCGAGCTCTCCGCACTCTTGCACAAACCTCTACAACGCCATAGCAGCGAGAACAGCCTTACAACCCTCCGCCATCGATTCAACCGTTGGGTCAAGTTTGACTCCTCCTTGTTGAGTGCTACCCCATCGAGCACCACGTGCCCAGGCTTCCTCGGTAGGGTCGGTGGAGCCTCTCTGCTTCAGAAGTCCTTTGGGTCCAAAGGTAAGGCGGGATACCTCCTGCTCGGTACCCATGTATAGACTGCTGGAGATGTCATCTAAATCGAGAAAACTAGACTGCAGACAGAGAGCTCGCGCCAGGGACATTCTTTTATTCTAGATGCCATACAGCGTACCTTCAGACCTGATAACTCTCCTGTCACGCTGTTCGAGGATACAAGGATCATAGCCCAGAGCTGTTGTCTTATAACTTTGGCATATCTATTTTCATCAAGGGGAGAAAAGCCTATGATGTCGTCCCTTATCAACCGTTGCTGCTTTGAGCTTGGCTACGCTCTGTCGAGTTGCGACCGAAAACTGACGAGCCCCACTCGTTCTCCTGTTCGAAGGTACGGAAGTGACAATACATGACCATCCTCACAAACATCAACTCAAATTGTTTTTTCTTTGGATCACCTCCAGTCGCTGAATAGGTCAATAGTACAAGTTATTGGCTTTCATGTGACAAAATCACACGGGCCATCATGTCGAGAAGTTGGACGTCATAATTCAGAGAAAAAGCCGGCTTGTTTCATGCAACCCCGCAACGTTTCTATGGCCAAGTTTGTAGGTTATCGTGAGTCGTGCTTCGCGACGAGTAATGTCACAGCGTTTATTTCGAAAGAAATATATGAAGAGGAATCAAACCACCTTCATGTAAAACTTTTGTCGAAAATAGTGCACAGTAGCAAAGCAATTATAAGGTCCGCAGCCTATTCTTTAAGTCACACACAACTATGCAAAATGGAACACCCATGACACCAACAAGGCCCTGTGACATCAACAAGGCTACATGCTCACTGCTTTCTCTTAGATCTGTAAATAAGGCAAGGTCTGTGTCATGGCGCCGCAAGGATGATCACCTGCCATGATGATCGGCCCAGATTACTAGAGCAAATAATACGTACTGCCTACATTCAGGCTGACCAATCAAACGAGGCCTAGCATTCCCTTTAGCAAGAAGGACGCGCGCAGTTGCGCGGATCCAATTCCTTGGACATGGGAGAGCTGCAGAAGCGTCCGCGCACGATCATTTGTTACGAGGGTTCTGTCGGCAAAACACTGCTGTGCCTGGTTAGGTAGCCGTTTGAGTCCTAAAGACCGAAAAACCACCATTGGCTGCGCGTTCTGCGTACTGGGGCTTCCTAATGGAAGAAGAGAGTGCTCTGAACCCAATGGTTGCGAAGGCTTGTGTTCGGAGAGCGCTTTGTACATTTTATAGAGCTTTGGGCTTCATTAAGATCAAAGGCAAGCAGTTCGGTGGATAAACATGTTCAATTTTGAAGCCTTCCTGGTGATATGGGAGGGGTTCGCATGATTGGGGCTGGCATGCACCATTCATCATGTCGTATTAGTGCATTAAGCACATTTGTGCCTAGCACATCCTAGGCTGGTATCTGCCTATCAAAGCTGTCTTCTGACAACCCACCCCATCATGCTTACTTTGCTGGCCATCTTTCACACTGAGATTTAGGTCATACTGCTTGACTTCCCTCATCAATAGTCTCAGGATTCCCAATCTTTTTTACGTTTCGTTTATTATGACCACAACTGCCCCCCGTTCTCCAGTCTTCATTCGCCAACTCGCGCCATGGGTACCACACTGCTCGAAATCGAATCCAAGCAACTCAAGGAGTTCGGCCAACGGAATACTACGCCTCCTTACGCAGCGATAGATTTCCTGGGACACCTCGATCCGGACTTGGACCTGGTCTCTTCAAGGAATGATACCGGTCACTCCCAATGGATGTCTGAAAAGCCGGAACTTTGGCAATTGGATATTGCATGCGACCTGGTTCGGGACCGAGGGCTTCAGTACCTCTGGCCAGATTATTGGCATTCTGTCACGGAGTCCAGCGGACTTGGTTCCAGTCGGCTCGAGCACTTGGCAGCCTGTTATGAACGCGCTTGTTGGTGCTTGGTTTTCACGCCCAAGTCTTTATACCAACATTTCCATCGGCGCCTGGATCCCGATGGTCAACTTTCCGGCTGGCTACAAATATTCCATAATCAGGGGAGTCCCCTTGGACTACTTATCGCATCAAGGAAAGAATTTTTTCGTCCAGCATATGGCCCCATGGTCGAGCGATTCCTTCCAAGCCCAAATCGCATGATTTTGTTCCTTCTTGGAATGAATGCCGCCAGGCTTCAAGATTGTACCTTTTTGGCCGAGGAATCGGAAATTGTCACGCCGGTTATTAGCGCAACAAACAGCAATGGTCCATCTAAAACATCAATGCCACCGCTGGGTTTGATGATTGTTCAAGGCAATTCAGATAGTTACTATTACAATGAGGAGGAAGTTCTTCACCGGAACCTTCGGGGAGAGCAGATGTTGTGTAAAATCCCGGTTTCTCTGAGATTGGAGACTTTGGGCAAACATCACAGACAACAATGGGAAGTTCCATCCTCGCTGCACTCTGAAGATGTTGCCGTAGAGAACTCCAGCTCCTATGCGCAACAAGACCGGTATTTGCTATCCCTGATGGACTTTCATGGACAGAATGAGGCCTCATATGCCTTCCGGTCGCAGTTGCTAAATTCTATTACCGAAGGTTGCGGAGACAGCAAGCAACAAGAAAGCTATCATCTATACCCATTGACCGAGGGAGACACTTGCTTTCAACGTTCTCTAACACCCCAATTTGGAAGCCGGTCACTCAACGTACTGCGGGTCGAGCAACAAAACAATGTCAAAACTTTGTTACCGATGATCACACCCAGTGTCACTATTACTACAACATCTTCACTACTGCTTGACTCCCGATTTCAGCCTTCTAAAGAGGGCAAATTCAGCAACATACGGTCGTGGCTCGATTCGACTTGTGTCAACCCAATCATGAAAGAAGGGGGCGAGTTATCAGAGCCACTGCCAACTATAGATCCAGTTGATGTAGGTGGCAACGACATGGAAGACTTCGAAGACACATGTTCCGAAACTACATCAAAGACAGAGTACCAATGGCAATCCTTGGACGAATGGGCACAGCTGGGTCCATCACTAGAACCCAGCCACCCACTGTCCTTCGTTAAAGCCGCACTGATCAACACGGCTCTGTTCAAGTATCTCGGCCAGAAGAAACAACAGCAAAGGCACAGTGGTCAACAGGCCCAAGCCCCAGTCTCCCCCAATAATCAAAAGAGACTGGAAATAGCATGCCCATTTTACAAAGTGGATCCGCTCAAGTACTCAGGTTGTCTGAAAGGTGCTCGTCTACTGACTATTTCCCAAGTCAAAGACCACCTCTTGAAGCAGCATCGCATGCCTTTCTACTGCCCAGTCTGCAAGAGCGAATTTCAGACGGCTTCAAACCGGGACAGGCATATTGTCAAGCGTTCCTGTAGTCTCAAGAAGGAATTCCCGCATGAAGGAGTCTCGGATGACCAGAGACGGCTACTGCTTCGTCGCCATAGGCGGGTGGGACTGAAGGAACACTGGCATAAAATATGTGTTCTTTTGCAGCTTGAAATCTCTCGGTCTGCATCTCCATATTTGATTGATACAACCATTGTCGCAAACGAGGTCATGGAGTTCAGAAACTTTTGGCGGAAGTACGGCCAGAGCTGTATAGCAGACTTCTTGATGACAGTCAACTTGCATCACTGGAATCGCCAGAGCGAGGAACGGGATCTGGCTTCTTTATACTCTGCCATCCTGGAGGGAGTCTCAGAAACCATTATACAGTGGGAAACTACGGAGAGGCATCTTGGGTGCATCTCAAGGCAGTAGGTGCAAGAGGTTCATCTATATGATAGGACAACGACATCGGAAACTCGCAGTCGGAACTGGCGGTATTGACTGGCAAGAGAGAACAGTGGCTAATACCAGATATCTCCATAACGTGGTAGTCTAGTAAAACGGAATTTCCTTCATATCAAGCGAGAGTTAATTTCTTTCAGATAATCATTCATAACTGTCGTCTGTATGCTGTCCGAAAACCACTGGGGACAGATCTTCTACTCGCCAGAATACCTCGCCAGAATCAAACCCGAGGCTTGCCCATCAACCCTCCAGATACGAGGGAGCAGAGATGGATCTCTACCGACGATGCCCTTTCATCGCTGCTCTGGTGGACAGTCACTGCTGTCCAGTCTCTCCCGGGGACCCTTGAGGGCGACTCAGCTTCGGTCTTCAACATTGCAATCGATGGCTGCCTCCGTACAGACCAGCTGGTGCACCCGGATACGTTGGGCTGTGTTCTCGGTTATATAGCCCCTTCTATCCTGATCTGCAAGATGCTCGGCTCGGCGAGCTGGGCAGATTTAGCGATCTTGGCCCGGCAAGCCCTTGGGTCAACTTCTCGCTCTACGAATCCGAGTGGGGACTTGGCACTCGGCGGCAAGATCCAGGCCGTTTTCGTCCCGCATGTAGGCGTTATAAACGGGCAGCAAGTCGTCATACTGATGCTCCCGGACGGTTGGTTGAAGATCAAGGTTGGAGTTAAAAAAGACTGTCTAGACGAGTTGCCACATGAGCCACTGTGGATGAGGCTTGCTGAGGCAAGATAGGTTAATGTCGTCTTCGGATGGTCACATTCTATCTCGCGCGCACCGTTCTTAGTCCAAAAGCATCAGATTATCTTCGTCTAAAAATCGTATAATAGATAAACGCGCGGTTTGTATTATTGGTCGTAATTGTATTGATCCCAGTGTACTGTCATGATCTTCTTCCAGGGCTGCTTAGGAGCAATGTGCACCACGACCATGATCCCATTCGTGTGTAATGAGATGTAGTGGGAAGAAATATATAGTTTCATGAGATAAGCTGTCATCGCGCGCTGGCCAACACTAAAGAGGCGCTTTCTTGATCACAATTCATGCATACAAATATCCGGCTGAAGTCTATCAACCACATTTCACGGCGAACAATTATCACACACGTTCAATCGAAGTTGAAGCTTTGAAATACTTCGTTCGAACGGATCAATCAGTAATGATTCCGACAGGCCACACCTTAATAACACCTTTGTTATCTCAGTTTTTGTATACCACCTACATCTGAAACAAGGTGCCGGTCCTCAGATTACGCCGAACCTACAGGTCACGAGACGGGCGATATGAACTAGGTATGTAGGTTTGACTCCGCCCGAATCTGATATTGGCCCCGCGCCAAGTAAATGAACGCGGGCAGTGAACTCAAAAGCCTAAGGGAAATCGCCGTGGTGACTACTCAACAACATTTGCATACGTGTATCATGGCCAACCATTGTCTGGACAACGCCCAGACAGCGCCATTTCTGGCGAGTCTTCTCAACGGCCCTATATCAGTCAGGGCATCTGGATTGTTCTCGGACCGAGGAATCCGTTCATTGAACGTTCCTTTTCCTGAAAGCTAGACCATTAGCCTGTTCTCGTCCTGCAATGCCGCTTGTCTCTGCTATGGCATTCTATGTTCTTGCAGCCGCTCTCCTGTTTACTGAGCTGGATTGCGGCCATCACTCGCCCAGACGTTATGGCCGCGCGCACGCTTGGAACTGCGTCCCACACGGCCACGCAACGTACGAGGGAGACTCGGATAACGTCTTCGTGCGCATATCTCACGACCGGCCCATTTTGGTCCCGACCCGCGGCGATCACCCGCAGATGCCGGTCGGCGTCGTGAATGACGACGACGACCCCATCCAGACCAACAAGTTCTACGCCAACTTCTTCGCCGGCAACCAGGACAACGCCACCTGGACGCACCCATACTCGGTCTGGTGGTCCAATGACACGGTCAAGCACGGCCACGGGCTGTCCGTCTCACAAACGGACCGCAACGATTTCCTGTACGGTCCAGGAACCCCCTCAAAGTCGTTCCAAGAGCCTTTCTTCCAGCAATCGATTGCCCTCTCTGCGCAGGAGCTCCAGAACGGCACGGTTTTGACGACGGACACATTGACGGCTTTCGCCGTCAATGTCAACCTCGCGCCTGCGAAGGGCGCGAAGCCGGTTGTCTCGTTTCCCCTCGTCCAAGGGATGGCGTTCGTCACGGGCGTTTACAGCAACGCCACCGTTCTCATCCAGTCTCAGAAGCAGTTTTCAAATATTACCGGCCTTCGGCTGGGTTCCAACGGAACGAGTGCCGCCGTTTATGGCTGGAGTGCTCGGCTGAATGATGGGTCGACCTGGATGATATATCTCAGCCCGAGAGAATTCTCACAAGGACCAGCTCTCGAACTAGTGGACAAGGGAACACTTCTAGGCCCTTCAGGTTTCACTGGAACTGTTCAAGTCGCCAAGAACCCCCAAGGGGCAGCGGGCGCCGAGGTCTTCAACAAGGCGGCCGGAGCGTACCCCGCGGGTGCCGCCATCTCCGGGTTCGTTTCGGGGAAAAGGGGCACGTACAGACTGGCCTGGGAGAAGAGGGGCGTCGCACAAAGCCCCTTGCTAATGTTTGCCTTGCCTCACCACGTCAAGTCCTTTGACGAGAAGACCGCCAAGGGAGTCACAAACGTCACCTTGGCCAGCACCACCAAGGGGATCGCAACCGCCACGTTTGCTGATGCCTTCACCATGGTTGAGGACAACCTTCCGATCGACATCGGCTTCGATCCGTGGTCGCCTCGTCTGGGCTCCGTTGGGTCCAGAAACGCATCGGGCGGCACGATTTCGGACGAGGCCAAAGCCTCCGTTGTCGAGGCCGCAAAGATTGAGCTTGGTCGCGACATCATCCAACTCACCAATTTGACTTCGAAATACTACGGTGGGATCGCCTTCTCCGTGTACGCAAGGGCGCTCTACGCCGTCCACGAGATAGCCGGAGATCCCTCGTTCAAGGATGATGCACTGCGCAAGCTAGAAGCCGCATTTGACCGCTACATTAACAATCTGGAGCCGAACCCACTGGTCTACGACGACGTCTGGAAAGGCATCGTCTCCTCCGGGTCGTACGGCAACAACGACTCGTCGATCGACTTCGGCAACACGTACTACAACGACCATCACTTCCACTACGGCTACTATGTCTACACCGCCGCCGTGATCGCACACCTGGATCCGTCCTGGCCGACGAGAAGCGACGGCCTCAACAAGCTTTGGGTGGACAACCTGATCCGCGACTGGTCCAACCCCTCGGCAGAGGACCCCTTCTTCCCCTTCTCCCGCGCCTTCGACTGGTTCCACGGCCACAGCTGGGCCCGCGGCGTGATCGAGGCGCCCGACGGCAAGGACCAGGAGTCGACCGGCGAGGACGCCTTTTCGACGTACGCCATCAAGATGTGGGGCCGCGCCACCGGCGACGCCCGCGCCGAGGCCCGCGCCAACCTCCAGCTGGCCGTCACCGCCCGTAGCCTGCGGTCGTACTTCCTCATGGCCAGCGACAACGACGTGCAGCCGCCCGCCTTCGTGGGTAACCGCGTGGCCGGCATCCTCTGGGACCGGAAGGCCAACCACACCACCTACTTCGGCGATCAGATCGCCTACATCCAGGGCATTCATATGCTGCCGATCGTGCCCAGCAGCGCTTACTCCCGTCCGGCTTCATTCGTGCGGGAGGAGTGGGATCAGTACTTCGCCGGGAACAAAAGCGGCTCCCTGACGTCGGGAGCCTTTGCCGGGCACGTTTACGTCAACCTCGCTATCGCGGATGAGCCAGGGGCGGCGGAGAGTTACCGGTTCATGACGAGTCTGACGCCGAACAGCCCTTACCTTGGTGGGGTCAGCCTAGCATGGGACATCGCATACACGGCCGCCCTAGGCGGGAGCTTATACCCCAACTCTACTGCCAACTCAACAATCGGGACATAAGCCTTTGGTTTGGGGTTTCTTGGAAGCATCTCTGGGTTAGTGTCGTTAGAGGGTGGCTGGTTCAATAGTTCAATTCAATTTCCATGGGATCAGTCGTGGCGGACAAGCGATATTCCATGGGCCAGTGGTCGTTTCTCTCGCAGGAAATCGATCGGTTCCAACACATTTGGTCAGCTTGGGAGATAGCATCGCCCGAGTTTGCGGACTAACGATTGGTTTGCGTTTGTTCATGAAATATAACTCAATTGGACCTGCCAGGCAGTCCTCACAGCCCTCTACAAGCCAAATCCTAGGTAGGAAGGAAATATCTCCCCACTTCACCAACGCTTGACCGCTCCTACTTCCACACAGACGCCTCAATCGATCTCGACGGGCTTCGGGTTGACGTAGAATCCGGCCGCCTGATGGTTCGATTTGACGGACGACTGTACTGCCGAGCTGGGCGAGACGGGCGAGGACGCCATCCCGTGGAAATAGGCAGGGGGCTGCGTCATTGTCGACTCCCCCGCCTCCACCAAAGTCCTCTGGTTCATCTTCAGGTGCCGATACAGCATCGCCGCGCAGATGATGCAGGTGACGCCGAGTATGCCGACGCCGACGCCGATCCCAGCCCTCGCCCCCACCGGTAAACCGGCGGATGATCCGCCACTGTCGGTCTCGTCGGTCTGGGTTGCTTGGTCGTTTCCGGTCGACACCGGTCCTCTTTCGCCCGTGGTCCGTGTGAGACCTGGGTCTTCTGACGTTCCTACAGGCATCTTGGCCAGAGTAATCGAGAGATCTGTCGGAGAAGCGGCCTCTGATTGCCCAGGAGATAGCGGCAAAGGGCTCATCGAGGTCTCGGCCGGAGGACTGCTCGAGGGATCAGCCGGCGCGGTTCTTGACAGGACCATGGTTTTTGTCGGCTCTCGCAAGGTCGTCGATGGTCTCGAAGGAGCTGGTCCGGTCCCCGGATCCCCGTCGGAGATGGTGAAGGTAGTCGAGGAGATGTGGCGCAGGGTCTGGTTCCCCTGGTTGCCGTCGGTGCCCTCGAACAGCCAGAAGTAAGCGACATTGGAGACGGACAGATCCAGCCCATAAGCCTGGACCTCCTAGTCGAACTCCCTAACCCACCCCTTGGCATCGACTGCACTCACGCCTCGAGGTCAGTACCCAGCCCGAGACGCGGTACTGGACGGGGAATCGTCTGCTACTTACGTATACGAAAGGGGATGCCTCCCAGCATCGCGGAGGGTGGAGCCTGTTGCCATAGCCCGATTGTGTAATGCCTCAGCGTCGTATTAAACGCAATCTTCTTCTTGTCTACGATCCTCCACGCATCTTCATCCTGGTCCGGGTAGATGGACTGTCCCAGCACCGGGTTGAGAGGCTGTCCGAGCACCAAGGTGACGAAAGCAAATAGAAACAGCGTCAGGGAGCGCATATTCAAAAGCGGCTCTCTGTTTTTCGTTTCTGTACAAGAACCATAGCGGGCATGTCTGCTCTTGTAATACCTGTTTGCCTTTTCATTTTTGACCGCCTTGCCTGAGGTTGTAACCTAGGTAGCTAATTGCCTGACCCCGTGGTCGTCTGACTTGTTTGTGCCCCCCTTTCTTTGTTTCGCCCAGCACAATCGTGGCCGGCAAACATAATGTTTGCGGCAATCTTCGAGCTGTATATTGCTGTGGCGAGTCTCGATGGAAACACTCCCATGACTGCCTATCTGCGCCGTTGCAGAAAAGGGAAGCTTGGCTGGTTTATCTATCAGCTAGTTACATGGCACACGCCAATGTGTAGGGAAATGGCCATGGACAAACCGGAGAAGCTCGCCGTCATTGGCTCGATATGAAATGGCTTACAAACGCAAGCAATTGGTGCGGCACTCATACCTTTGCAGATGGATAATACATTTGTGACTTCCTTGGGTCGTCTGAGCCCTATTCCTTCCTATTCTGAACTCTGTGGCGATGGGAGAAGGAAGACTACTGGAACAAGCGGGATAACGACAGCTTTGATAAGCTTCCAAAAGAGCACCTAGCAATACCACTGAAAGACCAGAGCCAGCAGTTTTGACACAAGCAAATGCAATTCTTGCATAACAATTTCCAAAGGGACTACTTTTTATTGGTCAAGGCAGTCACTAAGTAAGATGGCCAGGTGAAGAACAGGGCGGATAAGCCTTCACGTGTTAAACGAAAGACTGGATTTTGTCAGGCTAGCCAGGTTGCAGATGAAAAGGGAAAAAACTTTTTAACGCTACAGCCTACAAAGCCAACCTTCAGGTGATTTCTTTCTTATTCTTCAACCGATATATGCAGGCAGAGACAACCGCTAAACTGTGACGCGGTGTTCCATACCAAACAAAACTAGGCAAGAACAACCGGGCAACAACAATCAGGCAAGAACAAGATGCAAGAAACTGGAAGAGGCAAGAACGAAGGAGAGCGGCTAGGCTTCCATACTCAGTCAATTAAATACTTCCTACTTGGCGCCAGACAACTTCTCTCTTCCTGCTTCGCACCAACACCACCCAACCGAGCAACGGTCACGATGGACAAAACGACTCTCGACACCCAACGTTACGCCAGCGAGGGAATCCGCCTCCTCTACCTCCACTTCTCCCCCAAGATGTTTGAGAAGGTGAAGCGGACGGCCGACGATTACAAGTGGACTATGATGCCAATGGAACTCATCGATATGGTTCACAGGCATGCCTTTGAGGAAAGCAGAGACGTCTTCGACAAGCCAGTTTTCAGCATCGACGATTTCATCAGTGCCATCACGCCTATTTTTCGCCCGTCTGTCCTCACTAAAATCCGCTCGAACTTGGCTTCCTTCGATGCCGTCGCCGGCGTTGAGTGCACCGAGGTATTCCTAGGCCAGCAGACGATCTGCGATTGGATTATGCACATCATCGCCGAGTTTCTCAAACCCCTGCACGCCTTAGAACCTGGCCAGTTTACATCGGCTTCTCGGGGAACCTCTTCGTCTGCCACGACCTCCGAATCTCTCAAGAAGGACCCCTTGGTAAGTTTGCGTCTTTTGCCTTCTCACTCTGTCTGTCACTTCATCTGTCAATTCGTCTCTTAATTAGTCCCTCAATTCGTCTGCCATGTCGTCTGAAATTTCATGGGTTTTGCCCGATGTTGATACCTTGACCTCGAATAGCTACTGACTTATTACCCTCTACAGAATATCACCCAGCTTGATGGCCCCTCGGACATGTTCGATGTCCCCACAGACCGAACGGTGCAACAGGTCATCCTCCGCGGGCGTACAGTTCTCGAGGCATGGGCGAATAATGAGACTACTCGCCAACTCAGCATGATGAGAAAGGGTCAAGAACGCCTGCGTCATGACCCTGAAAACCTTGATCCGACCTGGTCACCTCGACATGCTGGCAGTAACCCCGTATACCACGGCTCGGTTATCCGTGATGAGGAATGGCCTCGACGTTTCAACGAAACTCCATTCGACGCTCTTAGTCCCAGAACTAATTCCAATCAGATGGTGACCGATGCATTTTCTGTCATCTTCACGGCGTTTAGTCCCCTGCGAGCCTTTCTTTGGGCAGCTTTTCAAAACGGATTGCCCCGCATGGCGCCCGATACCCAGGACATATTGAACACGCATAACACCTGGGTCAGTGGTGGAAGAACCTACCAGGGCGCTGTCCTATTCAAGTTTCACTCGACGCAGCCTTCTCCAGCTGGCCTCACTCACTACGTGATCCCTGAGGGCAAAGAAAACGACTGGGGAACGAAATCTTTACACGGCAACTACAAGGCTATCAACGAGCGACGAGTCTGGGATTATTATCGCACTATTCATGGTCAGAGTGGCGACGTTTTTCCAGATCTCGTTCATGGTCTAGAATATGGCCACCAACTGACTGCGCTCACACCTTTCCGTACCAATATGTGGCGCACTATCTGGAGGGCAGGTGCAGCCTCAAACCATCTCAACGCTCAACATGCTGCAACTTATGCCATCAGCTTTGAGATTGGCTGCCCTGCTGAGCCTCCACCAGCAGCGGCCAAGACTATGGGGAAACCGGGTGACGGCCAAGACAAAGACCAAGGCAAGGGCGGGGGTAAGGGGGAGGGTAAGGCGTCGCTGGGACGCCGAATCAGGAACAAGGCCTCCACCATCTTCAGGCCCTTCTCAGATCGTTCCTCGTAGGGACACTAGAGCCTGCGATCAATATCGAGGCTTGTCAACATAGGAGGCCTGGCTTGGCCAGAAGCATTCTAGTGCGTCATTTTGTTAAATCGAGAAGCACGTCATCGTGAGAAATAAACACGATTCAGTCTCCATCCATGGCAAGTGCATCGTGTTACAAAGTGAAAGTAAAGATGAGAGGAAGGATGAAAGGGGCAATAGCGTCTTTAATCTCTAATAGAAGCGACGAGAGTTGAGGCAAAAGTTGTGAAAGCCAAGGTGAAAGTCGTGGATGAAAACTGAGCGCGCCCAATACATCGCAGGGGAATTAGTCAGGGTCTGTCTTGGTGACAACCGAGCATGTGCTGCTGGGGCCTGTGCTGAGCTAAGGAGGTTCACATCGCGCAAGCTAAGCCAGGGAATAAGTTATTGAAATAAATAATGATATCTTGAGGCTATGCAAAGGGGGGGAATCCTCTATCCAAACACTGCATCATTATATGACGCGACCAAGGTATCCATTTCTCAAGACGCCACAGGCTTGCCTCCGAAAAAGGGCTTTAACAAGAACAGAAAATCAACGTCGACCAGACATTCAGGCCTCCTAGTCCTGCCTTCTCTCCAAGTTGTTGGCAAGGTTCATGTGCATCAGAGCCTGAGCTGCCCAGTCCTCGTCAGACTGCCCGCCTTCTTGTTGGCCGCTATTCCACGTATCTCTGTTCTCTCGACCATCGATCCCAGGAAGGTTGATATGCGGCGTCGATTGTCCCGCGCCGGGCTTCGCGCCCACAGGCGGCGGGCCGTCGTCGCCCCCGAATCGGTCGAAATCCGACAGGACGTACCTATGACTTGCAGACGCGTTGGCCTGCCCCTGCTGCGCGTAATTGGGTACCTCATCACCGGGCATCTCAGCAATGCCGTCGTGGCCTTGCCGTGGAAGTGAAGCCATCTGCCCGACCTGCTGTTGGAACTCTTCCTGCTCCAGAATCTGCGGTGCGTGCTCGACATTCCTCAAACTTGAAGAGCCAGGGGCCTGGCCGCTCGCACTTCTTTGACTGCCTATGGAAGTTCGGTGAAGATCGGGTCCGTCCGCGGTGCTAGGCTCGCCTCCCATGATGCTGGCCGGGTCCATATCTCTGATGGCGAATTGTGCAAGGGTGCGCATCTTGCGTGTGACCCATCCCGCCAAAATCTTTCCGCGCTGTTTCTCGCCGAGGCGGGACCGGGGGAAGTCGCCCTTGTTAACGAACGCCACGATGTCGACAATGATCTGGTGTTCGTTGAGAATTGCGTCGACGATGACCGGCACGACGGAGCCAAGGTAGGCCTTGCGAGTGATCTCGGCTAGTACGACAACAAGGCCGCCGGCTTGAAAGACGGCGCTACGAAGCATTAGCATCGACATTCTACAAGAGTGCGGGTGTCAACTTACCATCCACCAGTGACGATGTTTCGGTGGCACCGTTCCACAGACGCCTCGATATCCATGGGGAAGTGGCTGAGGCCATTGATCTCAAACGTTTCGCCAATGTTACCGAGGACGAATAACACCTGCATGTCGACCTGCGCGCCTCCAGGGCCGATGGGTCTGCTCACGTTGTGCAAGAAACCCAAGTCACCTGTGCGGACATACTGAATACTAGGGTCGCCATCGACTGTACGCCCGTCGAATCGCTCGGCATCAAAGACGTCCTTGGAGCCGTAGAAGCCCTTGACGCATGCTTCAGAGTCGACCCAAATCTCGCCGTACTCTCCATCGTGGCAGAGCATTCGGCTTTCGGGGTTGACGATGGCGATCTGTGTCGAGACAGGAACCATGCCCGAATCCTGGAGCAAGAGCGCCTTGGCATCTTGCTCAGGATCGACAGGATAAACAAGACCCCTCCGCAGTGCCTTGGTGTCTAGCCAGAGCTCAATAGGCTCGATGCACATGTAGGACCGCGAGGCGATCATTGGGTTGAGAACGTGGGAGTAAACGGTGTTGATGGCGGTCCTGTCAAGACCGGTAGCGGCGAAGTGCAGGCGGACCTTTTGGAACACATCGACTCGTGGTCTGCTCTCGGCCGAGATCATCAGGTTCTTCAGCTCGTGGAGCGTAAAGCCCTTGCCCTGCATCACCGCCATGGCGTGATCTAGCATCTGAGGCGTCGCGTAGGTGTCCTTGATCTTGTACCTAGAAAGAGTCACGAACAGCGACATGGGGTTCTGCGCAAATTCGACGGGTGAGAGGAGGTAGGTCGGGGTGCCTATGTAGATGCCCATCAGGCACGAGTGGATGAATCCCAGGCCCGTGGTACTACGCACACACCCGAGGACAGGGCGGGAGCTCGTCATTTGGCAAGTTTCCTTTTGGACCTTGCACATACCCAGGATGGTGTCGTGTCCCAGCTGAACCGCAATACGGCGCTGATCGGGAGTCCAGTATGTCCAAATGATTACAGGATAGCCTGGCTGAATCCAGGCGGGCTGCATAGTGATGCCATTGTCTCGCAGGCCACTGCTCTGCTTGGGTGGCTTGGTAGTGTTGTAGTAATTGGGGACGCCGATTTTAAGAATGGAAGCTGCCTGCTTGACATGGTTGGACACAAGCTTCAGCTTGACCAAGTGGTCCACCTCGTTATTGACCAGGATAGCCTTGACGCGGAAGTCGGCGACGACGTGCAGGAATGCCGGCACGTCTTCGTTGAGCCGGTTCTGGTCCAAGGGGGCCAGTGGGATAATGACCGCACCCAGATTGATGCAGGCGTGGACGGCATATACGAACTCTTCTGAGTGCGTGTACATCAAAATCAAGTGGTCGCCGGGGCGGACCTTGACCTTGTTCTTCAGATACAGCGCCACAGCGGAGACCTTGGTGTCGAACTTCTTCCAAGTAACGCCTTTGCCTTCTCTGCCACGACCATCGATCGTGCAGTAGGCCAGCTCCTCTGGTTGTCGGGCCACGCGCCATTGGATGAGATCGGTGATGCACGAGAAGTTATTGAGCGGGGTGGAGGTGCGATCATCAATGACAACTTCTCTTCGGTCGATACCCGAGTACTGCTTGTCAGCTGACATGAGGATCCCCGCTCGAGAGTCGGATGAGATGGGCGACCAAATGCCTCCGATGGGGTCGACGCCGATCGGCAGGTTAAGTACCGCATGCTCTACGCCGAACTTGACGTGGACGCAAGGCAGGTTGCCCAGGTCGAATTCTCTCCTGCACAGCATGTTTCCGATGTCCCGGCGTCCGTTCTTCACTACTCTGGGAAGGGAGTTTGGCGCAGTGATCATGACGCAGTATAGTCTCAAATGGTGTTCCTGCATCAAGACGTCCATACATCTTTCGGCGAGCGAATCGAGCAGTGCCGTATCGAGTTGCCTCGGTGGTCCACCAGACGTCAGAGGCGCTGTTGAGGCGGCTGGTGATTCCAAGACCACGATGGGGAGGTGCTCCTCGTTGACAAATACGTCAAAGGCAGAGCAGTCGTAGATCTTGGGTACGTTCTTTACAATGCTAACAACGAGGTGCTGAACGAAGAAGTAGCGATGCTCCGCGACCTCGGTGCCGTGCTCGACCCATTCGACTTTCTGACGAATACGATCCTCGTACAAGCCCAGCACGAAAACCTTTCCCTCGATGACTGTACCGAGCAAGCCGGTTCTCAAGAATTCGGGTTCGACGAGGGTCGGCGTCGGTTCGCCAGGGTCGAACTTGTAGGGGCGGGCGTGGAAAATCTGCTCCGTGTGTTTGGGCAAAGCCCAGAAGCCTCCAGAGAGCGAGGGCGAGTCCACCCAGATTTCTCCGACCGAGTGCGGTGACGCCAACAGACCGGTTTCCGGATCGACGACTGCGAGGGTGGCATCGGGGATCGGGTATCCGAAGGCGCCCACGCGGACAGTGCCTTGTTCGCTGGAAGCACGTTTCCGCGCCTCGTCTCCGATGGCAACCACGACAACTTCGTTTGTCTTCAGAGCCTCTCTATCAAGGAGCACCTCGCTGAGCTCATTCTTAGCGCGCTCCTCGGTGGTGGTGGTGGCACCGCCTCCCAGAAGACTGCCGAAGCCATTGGAGGGTGCCAGCTTCACCTCTTCCTTCTCTTCTACGTCAGACTCCATGTCGGACCCCGTATCGAGCTTCAGCGGGCATCCCATGCGCTCCTCTCCTCCTAGCCAGTCGCGGATGCTGATGACCATTCCTCCGTGCTCGGGGAGACAAAGCATAGGCGCGACAACCTCGCGGGCGCGGGGATTCCGGAGTGGCCTCAGCCATCTGTCTGCCAAAACTTCGTGGAACTCGCCGTCCACCGTCAGCGTATCTATGAGGCAGAGTTTGACGGTCTGGAAGTTGGGTTCCATGCCCTTTTTGAAATTTCGTGTCGTCATGGGGTCTGATTGGTAGTTGTATGCCGCGCGCTTTAAACCGGGGTAGTCTGCGATCATGAGAGTGGCCTTGTACTTGGTGATGAGATGGGCGTAGAGGCCGGGTACTTCGACGGCCTTGTTTTCAACCCAAACGGTCGTGTGGCCGCCGTACACTGTGAGAAGAACACCCAGAATCATTCCGATGCCCTGTCGCGGGTCAAGATATGAGAGAAGCGTTTCGCTCGTTGAACCTGCCCCGATGAGCCGACCGTTCTTGTCTCGGAGAGTGCGGCTGAAGGTATCACCAGGGCCGTTTCCTGGCACCGTGGAAACGACGGCACTGAGACAAGCCATCTGATGCATGACTGTTCGGTGGCTCAGGACAACGCCTCGCAAGTCGCCCGTAGGGGCCCTCGAGAACTCAATGTAGGCCAAGTCGGGAACCGTCAATGGCGGCACGTCGTCCTTGCGCTTGGGGTGGAAGCTGCCAAACTCGTTCGTCTTCCACCATTCGACACCCTTGGGCCAGTTCAGCTTCTGTGTCGTTATGTCGCGCTGGAAAGCCTTGAGGTTGTTGTCGGTCGTGAGCGCCAAATGGGCCTGCGTCGATGTGAGGATCAGATTCAGCTTCTGGTAGTCCTGGAGGTCGTTGATCGGCACGGCAACGACGCCAGCAA